CCGCACCCGACACGCGCCGCGCGGACGGCTGTTAGCATAAAGGGAGTCTGCGCCGCAAGTTGCATTTTGGGCGGAGCATGGACGAATTAGACTTTCCCACGGCCCTGTACTCTAACCCCGTGCAGTTTCGGGCGGGGAAACCACGACACATCGACAGCTGGGGGGCTGATAGTCACATACACCCTCAATGTGTGTGAGCGTACCATGTGTCTTTAAATGCCTGCCGCTCATGTGTGTCAGTTAACGGGGCCGAGCTGGACGTTACTCGTAGATTACACGATGCTATCTTGTCTGTTACGGTTATACTGCAGTCTTGCAGTGTGTCTTCCGATAAGGAGTTTGTTTTGAAGGGCCAAATTCGAGTAGCTGTCCGTGTACGACCTGCTCTTGGCAAAGAACTAGATGTGCCGATAAATCACCTTACTTATCCCGGAATATCTTCCATAAAGCTGGACCAGGTAGATATGTTGTTGTCTTGTGAGTTGTTGTAATAATGCGAGCTTGAAATCTTTTCAGGGCAAAGGGTCACAGACTTTCGAGTTCCAGCGTGTGTTCGGTCCGAATATGAGCCAAGCGCGTATATTCAGCGACGTGGAAGAACTGATACTGGTTCCATTGTTTTGTTTAGTAAGAATCCCCAGAGAAAAAATATTTCCCAACTGTGTTTTCAGTCTTGTCTTCACGGTTACAACGTCTCCATCATAGCCTACGGACAAACCGGTAGTGGTAAAACACACACGATGAGAGGAGGTGAGTATGCCTCGTAGATCATGAAGTGGTTCCTAGCAAGGCCGACGTCAGTTCAGCTATTTATCACATTGCTGCACTTACAAGGGACATTTCTTGCTAGGGGTGTTTACCCTTGGGAGAAGTTCCAATAAAAATGTCCAGTTTCCCAACCTTGGTTCGGTAAAGGGCTTCTAATTTTTTAATATGTGCTTTGTCCATTGCAGGCGTCGGGCGAGTCAGAAGCATATTACCCGCGAGCATGTGACAATTCCTTTTCCAATCGAGAGACAAATTTGAACGATCTTAGACTGGAGGTCATGGATGCGCTTTCCTTTACATTTTCATGTAAATCGGCCCAACAAGCGTCAGTAAATGAACTGCGTTTTCAGTTTGAACTCTCAAGAGCTTTCGTTCAATGAATGTACAATTGAGGAAATATATGATTTGCTCGGTGAACGGAAGAAACTGGAAGTTAAGATCGGATCGGGTACCACCTCTGTTACCGGCTTGAAATATAACGAAATTAATGCATTAGATGATGTCAGTTAATTACTTCGCTGCTTTAAAGGCAAACTGTGCACTCACCTCCGGGAATCCTGGTCTTTACCATGTACGGGAGAATAGGTCCGCAGTTGCAGTAGCGTGCCACTTCTTTCAAAAAAGTGTACGGGAACTGGGCTGAGAGTAGTAATGCCCGGATGCCGCTTCCGTACCCAGCCGGCGCTGCCGCACAGTCAATCAGGCACCTGGCCGTAGCCAAGCTACTTATCTGCGCTGTGTCGCTTCTGGTTGTTATCTACCGCTGAAAAGTGTTTCGCTGCGAGACCTTATACCGACGCAAGTGCTGCTCAAGTAAGGATAGCGCTGGCGGAGTATGGAGACGGCACTCGGGCAGCATTACCCTAAATCCCCGTCTCCGTGCACTTTTGAGCGGAAAAAGTGGCATCTACGGCAGCTGCGGACCCATTTTCTCACACTCGGCAAGGACTAGGATCCAGGGAGGTGAGCGTACAGTTTACCTTCAACTTCTCTTAGGAGATCATGCCTTGAGCCTAACGCTTTTTTTTGCAGATCGACAACATTCTTGCCGTGACAGATTTGACTAGATCGACAGCAGCTACGAAATGTAATGAGCAGTCCAGCAGGAGTCACGCTGTATTCGAGCTTGTGATACAGGGATACAATAAAACCTCTGGTATTATCTATTTCAGATCGTTCCTTAGAGATTAGACGCGCTGCTATACTGTAATGTCGATCTCAGGAGCGTCTCGTCATGCATGTCCTACACCTGGTGGATCTTGCTGGATCTGAGCGGGTCAAAGAGTCTGGTGCTGAAGGCGACCGCTTTAAGGAAACGACGCATATTAATGCTGCGTTGTCCAATCTGCAAAACTGCATTCGATCTCAGTTGAATAAGGTAGGTAAACTCAGGTAGTGCTCGAGGAACGATGCCCATTATCTTTGTGTTTCGAAGCAGACTGACCACACAAAAAAGGTGAAGTTTAATGATAATTAATTACTGTGCTTTTTTCAGAACCAGCATATCCCCTACCGTAACTCAAAGCTTACAATGATTCTTCGCGACAGTCTTGGTGCGGGCAATTCGAAGACGATGGTCATTGTAGCACTGAATCCCGCTGTGACTCAGATTGCTGAAACTAAACGTAGTTTGGAATTTGCACAACAGGTGAGTTATGACTCTGGCTTGTTCATAAATTGTTACTTTAAGCACAAACTGTACACTCACTCCCTCCGTCGATCCCGATCCTTACCATTTGCGAGGTAAATGGGTCCGCAGACAGTAGTGCCACTTCGAATATTCTTCAGCTTCTCTCATTTTGTAACCTCGGCATGTTAGTTGTTCTTATTCAGTATGTTTTCTTGTGCCTCTCGAGGTTTTTAGGTGGAACAGTTTATTTTAGCGGCCTGACGTTTCGACGTAAT